CTGGGCCGCGTCACCCGGCGTCTGCCACGGCGCCGGGCGAGGGAAGGGGCGAGGCCGAACGTGGGGAGCGCGGGCTTCCCTCTGTGGACGTGGCGAGGGAGTCCGCGCCCGCCGCACGCTCCTAGGCCCCGCCCCCCGGGTCCTCCTCAGGCCATTGGCCGGGGGGCGGGGCCTCAGCGCGGCCGGGGGCGGGGCCTGGCTGGAGAGCTGCCAAAGGGGGCATCCTTTTTGGAGAACGCGGAGCGGAGCTTGCTGGACCCCGTGAGGCTGGACCATCCGGTAAACGGAGGCGAGGGCGGTGGCCGGCCCAGGAGGGGACTGTCCAGGTCCGCGAGGGTCGTGGGTTAGAGTCCAGGCGGGAAACCACGCCTGGGAACTTGCATGATCTCTCTCTTTTTTTAGCCAAGACCCTGCCCCACACTTTGTGTGGGAAGTGTGCCACGTCTCCCGGTGGAATCCCCATCCCCCTTCTTGCAGCTCCGGGGCCCCTCCAGGACTCCCCTAAAGCTGGTTGTACCTCCGAGAACCCAGCCCTCCTCCCCTCCTCCCCCAGCCCTTCTTGAGCCCAAAACTTTGCCGCCAGCTACCTACCATCCATCGCTCTGTCCTTTTCTAGGGCTCCCCTCCCCCCATCCTCCTGTCTGTTCTCTGCCTTTTCCCCTGTGACCCCTGATGCCTAGCCTCCGCCACTCTGCAGGGCCCGAGGATGCGGCGACCGTCACTCCTGCTGCTGCTCTTGCTGCTCAGGCACGGGGCCCGGGGCAAGCCCTCCCCGGAGGCCAGCCCTCACGGCGAGGCACGGGTGCACCACCAGGCCCCCCTGAGCGAGGCCACTCACGATGATGCCCATGGGAACTTCCAGTATGACCACGAGGCTTTCCTGGGACGAGACGTGGCCAAGGAGTTCGACCAGCTCAGCCCAGAGGAGAGCCAGGCCCGCCTGGGGTAGGAGAGAGAGGGGGGCTGGAGGACTCCGGGTGTCATTTACAGCAGGGAGGTCAGGGGGGGAGGCGGTGGGAGGGCTGGGAGGGGATGTGTAGGAATAGCCTTCCAGGCAGAGAGACAGCAAGTGCAAAGGCCCTGGGGCCTGGTGTGCGTGAGGGACAGTGAGGTCCGTGTGGGTGGACCTGGATGGGCAAGGGGAGAGGGTGTGGTGGCAGAGGGGACAAAGGGGTGGGCCGGCCTTTGGGGCCATAGCGGGGATTTGAGTTTTTCCCTGAATAAGGTGAGAACCCTGGGAGGGCTTTCGAGGGAGAATGTGATTGGCTTAGATTTAAAAAATATATTTTATCGATTTTTCACAGAGAGGAAGGGAGAGGGATAGAGAGCTAGAAACATCGATGAGAGAGAAACATCGATCAGCTGCCTCCTGCACACCTCCTACTGGGGATGTGCCCGCAACCAAGGTACATGCCCTTGACCGGAATCGAACCCGGGACCCTTCAGTCCGCAGGCCGACGCTCTATCCACTGAGCCAAACCGGTTTCGGCGATTGGCTTAGATTTTAATGGAATCCTTTAGGTTCCCTATTTCGGGAATAGACTAGACCTGTGGTCGGCAAACTGCGGCTCGCGAGCCACAGGTGACTCTTTGGCCCCTTGAGTGTGGCTCTTCCACAAAATACCACGGCCTGGGCGAGTCTATGTTGAAGAAGTGGCGTTAGAAGTTTAAGTTTAAAAAATGTGGCTCTCAGAAGAAATTTCAATCGTCGTCCTGTTGGTATTTGACTCTGTGGACGAATGAGTTTGCCGACCTCTAGAGAAGACCCAGCGAGGAAGCGGTGGCAGTAGTGCAGGCGGGAGACAAGAGGGGAAGGCGCCCCAACCAGGGTGGCGGTGGCTGTGGTGGCCAGGCCTCTGGCTGGGAGACTGTGCATGGACGGGGTTGGGTGGAGGAGGGATGAGGGAGGAAGAGCAGTGGGAAGCGAACACACTCAGCATAGCACTTACTGCAATGCCAGGCACTGTTCTAAGTCTTTCCACGGGTGAGCTAACGTATTCCCCACGGAGGGGGAAACTGAGGCACAGAGAGGTTTAGTGACCTGCCCGCAGTCACACAGCCAGGAAGAGGAGGCTTCAGAATGTGGACCTAGACTATCTGTCTGTGGATCCCACGCTCTGCACAACAGCTCGAAGCTCAGGGTAGAGCATGTGTGAGAGTCTTGGGGACAAAGTCCATCCCCCACGGATCCCAGCAGAGACTGCCTGGCCCAGGAGGGGCCTCAGGGGCTAAGAAGGAACAGTGACAGATAAGGCTCCTTGAGATTAGCGGTTGGGCGCGAACCCAAACGGGGGAGGAGGGTGGGAAAGGTGGGGGCGTGGCCAAGAGAGCGAGAAGGGGCCTGGGAGTCTGCTGGGGAGACCTGAGACATGGGGTGTGGGTGGGACCTCCTGGGGTTTGACATGCGCCGGTGGGGAGCGGGGGAGCAGCCCACAGGATCCGCTGGGAGCATGAGGAGGGGCGGGGGCACCGAGCCCGCGAGGTTGCGGGTGATGGTCCTAGGACTTAGGTCAGTGCCTGGTAACGGGAGAAAAGGGTGGGGGGCGCATCCTAGGGCAGGACTGGAGGAAGGGGGTCCTGGAATGGACCGGCCCATCCCGGGAGGAGGCGGAGCGGGAGGCAGGTTAGAGGAAGGGTCCTCAGACTGGCAGAGCCAGGGGAGAGGGGCGGAGCCTGAGGAGGCGAAGGGGTGTGGCTTTGTCAGTTGTTCAGAGGCAGGCTTTTGTTGTGTTTTTAAAAAATATATATTTTATTGATTTTTTACAGAGAGGAAGAGAAAGGAATAGAGAGTTAGAAACATCGGTGAGAGAGAAGCATCGATCAGCTGCCTCCTGCACGCCCCCCACTGGGGATGTGCCCGCAACCAAGGTACATGCCCCTGACCTGAATCGAACCCGGGACCTTTCTTTTTTTTTTTTTTTTTTTTTTTTTAATATATTTTTTTTATTTTTTACAGAGAGGAAGGGAGAGAGATAGAAGAGCCAGAAACGTCGAGGAGAAAGAAACATTGACCAGCTGCCCCCCGCACACCCCCCACCGGGAATGTGCCCGCAACCAATGCACATGCCCCTGACCGGAATCGAACCTGGGACCCCCCAGTCCACAGACCGACGCTCTACCACTGAGCCACACCGGATTTGGCCAGACTTTTAATTTTTTGTTGTGGAGACTATTGCTAGAGGCAGTCTTGGGACAGGAGCCCTGCGGGCCAGGGGCGCAATGTGACGCCCTTCCCGCTGTCCCCACTCCGACGAGGACCAGTGGGGCTAGGACCAGCTGGACAGGGAACTCGGCAGGTCAAGGGGCGGGGCCAGGGCGAGGGCGTGGCTTCTGATTGTCTTAGGCTCCTCCCCCACCTGGGCGTGTCTTGGGCCACAGCACCAGCCACAGGCCCTCTGGGTGTTGGAATGGGCCAATCGCCACTTGGGGGCGGAGCCTTGGTGGAAGGGGGCGGATCCCTGTGGTGGGCGTGGCCTCAGGATTGACATGTGCCTCCCCCAGTTGGCGGATGGGCTCTGGACCTTATCCTTAGTAGGAGGTGTGCCTCTAGGGGGCGTGGCTATCTTTGCGGGTCCCGAGATTGACGTGCTCCCCGCCCCGTCCCCAGGCGCATCGTGGACCGCATGGACCGCGCGGGGGACGGGGACGGCTGGGTGTCGCTAGCCGAGCTCCGCGCGTGGATCGCGCACACGCAGCAGCGGCACATACGGGACTCGGTGAGCGCGGCCTGGCACACGTACGACACGGACGGCGACGGGCGAGTGGGTTGGGAGGAGCTGCGCAATGCCACCTATGGCTACTACGCGCCTGGTATGCGGCGAGACCCCGACCTCTGCTGCTCCCATGCACCGTGGCCCCGACCTTTCTGACCCCTGATAGTGAGAACCTTTAGCCCATTAACTAGAACCTCTGACCTTTGGCCCCTGGTACTTGACCAGGGTCTACGCCGAAGACCCCATTACCCTGAGACCACCCAGCCCCGGCTTCTGGCTTCTCTGTCTGGCATCCACAACCTAACTCTGGGGCCCGGGGACTTCAGATCCTGGACCAGGGACCTACCTCTACCTTCCATGCCCCTGACCTCTGACCTCTCATCCTGAGAACCCCAAAGCCGTTTATCCTGCCCATGAACCAGTGAGTTCCCTCCTCCCTGTGCCCACGCCCCAGCCCTGGGCCCCTCTAGCTCTTGTTCTCTCCCCCTGTTCCCTCTCCCCGGCCTGTCCCTCGTCTGTCCTCAGAGCGGTCTTTCCACCCCCAGAGCTCCCACTGACCTGCCGCTGCTCACAGGGGTCCCCCCCCCCCCGTGACCCCCTGGTCCCCTAGGAGAGACCCCGCTGCTCAGCCTCCCGGCCTGCCCTCCAGCTTTGTTCTCCTGCACTATCTGGCCCGGTCACATTCTTCAAACCTCCACACTGCGCACATACTGTTCCCTCTGAAAATGCCCTTCCCCTCCTCTGCCCAGCAGCCTGCGGCAGCATCACCTCAGACATCCCGCTTTTGGCGGGACACTCCCGATTTTTAACAATTTGTCCTGCTTCCCACTGCTTTAAAAATATCGGGACTTTTTTTTTTTTTAATATATCTTATTGATTTTTTACAGAGAGGAAGAGAAAGGGATAGAGAGTTAGAAACATCGATGAGAGAGAATCATCCATCAGCTGCCTCTTGCACACCCCCCACTGGGGATGTGCCCGCAACCAAGGCACATGCCCTTGACCGGAATCGAACCCGGGACCTTTCAGTCCGCAGGCCGACGCTCTATCCACTGAGCCACACCGGATTCGGCAAGAATCGGGACTTTTCTTTTAAAAAAGCCTCAGGACGCGGGACAAATTGTTAAAAATCAGGACTGTCCCGCCAAAAGCGGGACATCTGGTCACCTTATTCTAGGCCCCAGCATGACCCGGAGTCCCAAGAGCCGGTGCTCACCCAAAGCCCCTCCTTCCCGACCGTGTGACTGTGGATGAGTCCTTTCCTCCCTGGAGCCCGTTTCTCCCTCCCAAAGGGGGACTAAGCCGAAGCGGGCTGCTGCCTGCTCTGTGTGTGCGGGTTCAGTGCCACATGGTGGCTAAAGAGCTTCTGAGCATATCTTCGGCTCTTCCTGCAAGGCAGCCAATAGATGCAAATAATGACCATGTGTTATGCATAAGGTGGCCAGACGTCCCGCTTTTGGCGGGACAGTCCCGATTTTTAACAATCTGTCCCGATTTAATAATTTGGTGGGACAGTCCCACCAAAAGCGCGACGTCTGGTCACCTTACCCTTACCCTAACCCTAACCCTAACCCTAACCCCCCCTCAGATCCCTTTTGTCTCCTCTTCGGCCTGCCCGGCACCCAGGAAAGCCCCTCTCAGCCGCCCCTCCCTCCCTCCCGTCCCAGGCGAGGAGTTCCACGACGTGGAGGACGCCGAGACCTACAAGAAGATGCTGGCGCGGGACGAGCGGCGCTTCCGCGTGGCCGACCAGGACGGCGACCTGGTGGCCACGCGGGAGGAGCTGACGGCCTTCCTGCACCCGGAGGAGTTCCCGCACATGCGGGACATCGTGGTGGCGGTGAGTGAGGCCGGCCTGCCGCGCTTACCCCGGGCGGCCCCGTCCCCTGGCCCCTGGCCCCTGCCCCGGGAGACCCCAGGCCGCCGTGCCAGTCCGTGGAGGGGGACATGTCCCTTCCCACCCTGACCCCCCAGGGTCACCACTGGTGGGAGGATTTTTTAAAAAATATATATTTTATTGATTTTTTTACAGAGAGGAAGAGAGAGGGATAGAGAGTTAGAAACATCGATGAGAAAAGAATCATCGATCAGCTGCCTCCTGCACACTCCCTACTGGGGATGTGCCCGCAACCCAGGTACATGCCCTTGACCGGAATCGAACCTGGGACCCTTCAATCCGCAGGCCGACGCTCTATCCACTGAGCCACACTGGTTTCGGAGAACAATCTTCTTTTCTCCCATGTCCTACCCTGTCCCCCGAAGTCCCGTCCCCACAGGTGACCCCTTATGTCTCCATCCAAAGCTGCTCGGAGGGTCTAAGGCAAAGCTGTTAGGATCCAGGGCTCTGAGGCCAGAGGCCCAGTTTCAGGCCCCAGGCCCGCTGTTCCCGGCTGTGTGGCCTGGGGCAGGTTACTGGACCTCTCTGGACCTGAAAGTCCTCCTCTGGGAGGGACGGCACTGATTGTGACCCCTCTGGAGGGCGGTGACAGGGACTGCGTGAGTTCTTGCCTGCAGCACTGTAACACTGGCCTGGGCGAATGCTCATTATGCCATTTACACACACGTGTCAGTACTTACAGGGCAGGAATCGCTGGGTCCTGGGGATCAGAGATTATTATGCCTGTTATTCTTCCCAGCCTGCAAGCCCAATGTCCCTCTTTTAGAGCAGAGAGTGTAACACTTTTTTTTAAAAATAGGTTTTTATTTTTATTTATTTATTTATTTAAAAATATATTTTATTGATTTTGTACAGAGAGGAAGGGAGAGAGATAGAGAGTTAGAAACTTCGATGAGAGAGAATCATCAATCAGCTGCCTCTTGCACACCCCCTACTGGGGATCTGTCCACAACCAAGGTACATGCCCTTGACCGGAATCGAACCCGGGACCCTTCAGTCCCCAAGCCGACGCTCTATCCATTGAGCCAAACCGGTCCTGGCATAATATGTTTTTATTTTTAAATGTATTTCTTATTGATTTCAGAGAAGAAGGGAGGAGAGAGATAGAAACATCAATGACGAGAGAGAATCATTGATCGGCCGCCTCCTGTGCGCCCCCCCACTGGGGATCAAGCCTGCAATCTGGGCACGTGCCCTGACCAGGAATCAAACCCAGGAGCCTTCAGTCCGCAGGCTGAAGCTCTATCCACTGAACCACACAGGCCAGAGCCACCTCTTAATTCTCTCGAGTTAAGATTATTTAACAAACCCTGACTGAGTATGTCCTGTGTGCCAGGCATCCTTATAACTTTACCTGCATTACCTCAATTTACTTTTATTAATTTTTTGTTAATCTTCACCCAAGGATGTTTTTTTCCATTGATTTTTAGAGAGAGTGGGGTGGGGGAGAGAAAGAGAGAGAGAGAGACATGGATTGGTTGCCTCCTGCAAGCTCCATGACTGGGGCCAGGGATCAAACCTGCAACCCAGGTACCTGCCCTTGACCGGGAATTGAACCTGCGACCTTTCTGTGTGCAGGCCGATTCTCTAACCACTGACCAACACCAGCTAGGGCACATTGCCTCAATTTATTTATTTATTTATTTAAAATATATTTTATTGATTTTTTACAGAGAGGAAGGGAGAGAGATAGAGAGCTAGAAACGTCGATGAGAGAGAAACATCGACCAGCTGCCTCCTGCACACCCCCTACCGGGGATGTGCCCGCAACCCAGGTACATGCCCTTGACCGGAATCGAACCTGGGACCCTTCCGTCTGCAGACCGACGCTCTACCGCTGAGCCAAACCGGTTTCGGCTATTTATTTATTTTTTAAAGATTCCAGAGAGGAAGGGAGAGGGAGAGAAAGATAGAATCATCAACGATGAGAGAGAATCACTGATGGGCTGCCTCCTGCACGCCCCACACTGGAGATTGAGCCCACACCCCGGGCCTGTGCCCTGACTGGGAATTGAACTATGATCTCCTGGTCCCATAGGTCGATGCTCAACCACTGAGCCACGTGGGCCAGGCAAGCCCACATTACGTCAGCGTGATTGTCCGTGGCAGCCCCATGGCCGTGGCTGTCACCTGTGTTTCACAGACGGGGAGGGATCTGGGCACACAGGTGCCTCTCCCAGAAGCCCCCGGGCGAGAAGTGGCCCAGCCTGGATTTGAACCCCAGGCCATTGAATCCGTGGCCTCAACCTAGAACCCGTGTCCAGTGAACTACCGTGTTTCCCCGAAAATAAGACCTAGCGCGTGGAAAGATAAGACATCCCCTGAAAATAAGACCTGGCGCATCTTTGGGAGCAAAGATTAATATAAGACCCTGTCTTATTTTCGGGAATGGGGTAGCATCTGTAGGCAAACCCAGCCCACAGGATGTTTGTGCAAGCCAAACTTTATTGTAGCAGCCACGCCCACTTGCTTACATATGCTCCAACTGCGAAGTGGAGTCCGTTCTACAGGGAGTATACAGCAGGCAACAGAGAGTATACAGCAGGCAAAGCCGAAGATACTCACTGCTAGAGGCCTGGGCACGGAATTCCTGCCCTCGGAGGGGGGGGGGGTCCCCTCAGCCGACCTGCGCTCTTCAGCCCCAGAGCCCTCAGCGGATGTCCTACTAACTGTCCTAAGACAGTGGCAGCAAACCGCGGCTCGCGAGCCACATGCGGCTCTTTAGCCCCTTGAGTGTGGCTCTTCCACAAAATACCACGGGCTGGGCGAGTCTATGTTGAAGAAGTGGCGTTAGAAGAAGTTTCAGTTTAAAAATGTTGGCTCTCGCCCTAGCTGGTGTGGCTCAATGGACAGAGCATTGGTCTGCGGACTGAAGGGTCCCGGGTTCAATTCCGGCCAAGGGCACATGCCCAGGTTGTGGGCTCAATCCCCAGTAGGGGGCGTGCAGGAGGCAGCCAATCAATGATTCTCTCTTCATTGGTGTTTCTATCTCTCTCTCTCTCCAATGCCCTTCCTCTCTGAAATCAATATATATATATTTAATATATATTTTTAATATATATATATTAATTTGACTCTCAGCCAAGACTGGTTTAGCTCAGTGGATAGAGTGTCGGCCTGCGGACTGAAAGGTCCAGGGTTCGATTCCGGTCAAAGGCATGTACAATGGTTGCGGACACATCCCCGGTGGGGGGTGTGCAGGAGGCCGCTGGTCGATGATTCTCTCTCATCGATGTTTCTAGCTCTCTATCCCTCTGTAAAAAAATCAATAAAATTTATTTAAATAAAAAAAAATTGGCTCTCAAAAGAAATTTCAATCATTGTCCTGTTGACATTTGGCTCTGTGGACTAATGAAGTTGCCGACCACTGGACCACTGTCCTAAGACATCAGATAGACATCTTTAGCACTGCCCCCACCACTGCACTCCCCAGCCATAAGCCCGGCTTCTGGCTGAGCGGTGCTCCCCCTGGTGGTCAGTGTGTGTCCTAGGGACCGGTCTTTCCGCTGTTCAGCCGATTTGCATATTAGCCTTTTATTATATAGGATCTGGCCCTTTACGGAGAAAGTTTGCCAACCTCTAGTCTAAACTCTGCTGTCATCACTCCCATCCGTGGACAGTGAGCATACCCTCCCCAGGCACAGATTTCAAAACGTGACTTTTAGCCTAAATTGTGCTATAAAAGAGGAACTAAGGGAAGTCGCTTATAGTAACTAAGTCAGCATGTGCTTTAGAGTTATCAGATTCAGCAAATAACATAGGACACTCAGCTCCACTGGAATTTACAACAACAAAACATTTCGTGGAAGTGGAGCCCACGCGGTATCTGGAATTGGTGTGGGTTTATCTCACGTACTATTGGGACATACTTTTACAAAAAAAAAAAAAAAAAAAAAAAGATATATCTGAACCTGAAGTAACAGCATCCTGTCCTCCCAGGAGATCCCGAATATTGTGCGGGACAGATTTTTCCTGAAGAATGATTTGTGGGAAAGTTGAATGTAATTGAGAGTCCTGTATTTGATCAGTCGATCCTAAAATTGCTGATTTGGCCAGAAGACAGGCTGGAGTGTCAGGTGCCTGTGCGGCCTCACAGGGACTGAGTCTGAATGCAAAAAAATGAGGAACAGAAGCTGTTTGCTGAAGAAGCGAAGGGGAAAAAATAGAGCAGAGGTTTGGAAAGTGTGTCAAATGTCAGATAGCACGCCAGCTGAGTTGGTGTCTAGGTTCTGCCTTTTTAAAAAAATTTTTAATTTTTATTTATTTATTTTACAGAGAGGAAGGGAGAGGGATAGATATTTAAAAACATCGATGAGAGAGAAACATCGATCAGCTGCCTCCTGCACACCTCCTACTGGGGATGTACATGTCCTTGACCAGAATCGAACCCAGGACCCCTCAGTCCGCAGGAGCCAAACTGGGCAGGGCTGCCTTTTAAAAAAAAAATTATTAAATACATTTTTATGTATTCAGAGAGGAAGGGAGAGGGAGAAGGAGACAGAAACATCAATGGTGAGAGAATCATGGATTGGCTGCTTCCTGCACGCCCCCTACTGGTGATCAAGCTCGCAACAAGGGCATGTGCCATTGAGCGGAATAGAACCGGGGATCCTTCCGTCCCCAGGCCCAGGCTCTATCCACTGAGCCAAACCACCAGGGCTAGACTCCGCCTTTTAAAGGGAGAGGCCTCCGGCCCCGGGCGAGTGCTGGCTGGGGCATGAGAAAGTGAGGGATGCGAAATCGCTCTGTCGTGGACCAACCTGTGCATCAGGACATCTGAGTCCCTGGCCCCATCCCACCCCCCCCCCCACTAAGTGCAGGGCGGGCCTGCGTGGTTATGGCACCCCAGAAAGCCCCCCAATGTCCCCCGTGCCCCCGTGGAGACTGCTCTGCTCCGAGGTCTGGTCCCACCGCCGCCCCCCTGGTCCCAGGGCCCCGGCCCTGATGCCCCCCTCCCCCCAGGAGACGCTGGAGGACCTGGACAGGAACAAGGACGGCTACATCCAGGTGGAGGAGTACATCGGTGAGCGGGGCGGGCTCTCCCTGGGGTGCTGGTCCCCTCCCGCCCCTGGCAGCCCCGGCATTGTCTCCCCTCGGAGGACAGAGGGGGGGCGCTGCTGAGTGCATCCAGCACCAGACAGTGGGACTGAGCCTGCAGCCCGGGGGTGAGGGGGTGTGAGGGCGGAAGGCGGGACAGGTGAGGCCAGAGTGGGGAGGGATTAGGAGTTTATTCCATGGTCCGCACACCAGGCGGCTGAGCCGGGATGGCTCAGTGAGGGCGTCAGCGGCTTGGAAAGGGCTTTTGGCGCGTTTTTCTGAGCGGAGACGTCTCTGTGCAGACCCGGAGGGGAGCGATAGTTAAATGTGGTCTCAGCAAAGGGACTGTCCATAGGGAAATGGCCTGAAAAGCCAGTTTCTAGGGTAGGTATGTCGATCCAATTGCTCGATCAGACCTAACACCGGGCCTGTGCCATTGACCGGAATCGAACCCAGGACCCTTCAGTCCACGGGCCAACACTATTCACTGAGCCAAACTGGACGATTTTTTTAAAAATATATTTTATTGATTTTGTACAGAGAGGAAGGGAGAGAGATAGAAAGCTAGAAACATCGATGAAAGAGTCATCGATCAGCTGCCTCTTGCACACTCCCCACTGGGGATGTGCCCGCAACCAAGTACATGCCCTTGACCGGAATCGAACCCCGGTCCCTTCAGTCCCCAAGCTGACGCTCTATCCATTGAGCCAAACCGGTCTCAGCCAAACTGGACGATTTTTAAATTTAAATATTTATTTATTTATTTTTTAATCTGCCTTCTGCATGCCGCCTATTGGGGATGGAGCCGAAATCTGGGCATGTGCCCTGACTGGGAATCAATGGGGACCTCTTGGTTCCTGAGCCTCCCTGGCCAGACTCCATTGTGTTTTGTTTGTTTTGTTTGTTTTGTTTTAGAGAGAGTGGTTGGGAAGGAGGGAGTGGGGGAGAGAGAGGGAGAGAGAAGACCATCAATTTCAGAGAGACACACCCATTGGTTGCCTCCTGAACACACCCCAGTTAGCTCTGGGGAGGGGCTGGGATGGAACCCAACCCTTTGTTTCATGGACGGGTGCTCTAACCATTGAACACACTGGCCAGGGCAGCATTGTTCAAAGGTTGAACACATTTTTCTATAGGACGTTTTTATGGGACAAACAGCAGGCAGGCGGGGCATTTTTACGTAAGCCTGATTTAAACAAATTTTGGTGATTGACTTTAGAGAGAGAGAAGAAGAAACTTTTTTTTTTTTTTTTTTTTTTTCAAGAAAGAACTCGAGCATCACAGTTGAATCATAGCAGGAGCTGATACCGTCTGTGGTGACTGTGGTTAACACCTTGTAAATTCATTTAATCGCCATGGCCACCCTGCGAGACGGGAATTACCCCAGTTTTCGGATAAGGAAGCTGAGGTGCAGAGGGAAAATCCCGGACTGAGGCCGCCTGCCAGGCAGCTGGAACAGGACTTAGTCCAGGCAGCAGACCCTGAGGTTCTGTCCTGACATCCACGCCGTAGGTCCCTGTGGGGCTCCGGGGACAGAGACAGGGCTGAACCCCAGGATCCCCCCCCAAAGAAATGTGATTTCGTCCTGCTGAGTGGTGTGGGGAAGGACATGGGGGAGGCGTACTGAGGGGTCAGTTGCCAGGGTTCTTATCCCAGCATTAAGAAGGGTTCAGCAATCTGGAGAAAGTCTGTGTGTAGATTAAGTAGGAGTCCAGAGACGCAAGATACTTTAAAAAAATATATATATTTTATTGATTTTTTTTTTTTTTTTTACAGAGAGGAAGAGAAAGGGATAGAGAGTTAGAAACATCGATGAGAGAGAATCATCCATCAGCTGCCTCCTGCACACCTCCTACTGGGGATGTGCCTGCAACCAGGGTACATGCTCTTGACCAGAATCAAACCTGGAACCCTGCAGTCCGCAGGCCGATGCTCTATCCACTGAGCCAAACCGGTTTCAGCAAGATACTTTTTTAAAAAATATATGTTTTATTATTTTTTTTACAGAGAGGAAGGGAGAGGAATAGAGAGTTAGAAACATCAATGAGAGAGAAACATCAACCAGCTGCCTCCTGCAAATCCCCCACTGGGGATGTGCCTGCAACCAAGGTCCATGCCCTTGACCGGAATCGAACCTGGGACCCTTCAGTCCGCAGGCTCTATCCACTGAGCCAAACGGGTTAGGGCCAAGATACTTTTGAAAGGCATTGGGGGTCAGAGGAGCTTTTTAGCTAAAGGAGCTAAGTTCTAAGTTCTCTCTGTCTCAGGACCCCTTGCTTTTTATCGACGCAGTTTGTCCTAAGGCAAGGTGGAGATGCACAGCTTCAAAGGGTATGTTTCCTACTGAAGCATTTTCAGATGGAGGAGTAGCTTAAGGCTTTTCAGGTGTTTGGCCAGTCGGAGGCAGTAACATGTAGATTAAGAAGCTCTGAGCTTGTCTGGCAGCACAGTCATCCCATTCAGGTTTGGGGGAAGTACCTTTCGGCTGCTCCCACGTGGGATTTACGCATGTGGCTCAGCCCTGGTTGAGCCCCCAAGTTCCCTCACCCGTTTGATGAAACTCTTGCAGTTACGACACGCTGGAACTGGCTTCCGGCAGGCAGTGTGGGTCCTGACCCCGATTGGGGGTGTCGGGAGAGGTGGGGGTGCCTGTGCTTACGGGTACAGGTTCTGGAGCCAGCCTGCCTGGTGCCCCGCCACCCCCCAGCCACGTGACCGGAAACAAGTCCCTCCCCCCTCTGAGCCTCCGCTCCCTCGTCTGGAGTGGGGGTGTGAGGCACCCCCCACCTAAAGGCCCATCAGTGGCTGAGGGGATAGACAAAGGGAACAGATCTAAGCCACGGGTCGGCAAACTGCGGCTCCGGAGCCCCATGCGGCTCTTTGGCCCCTTGAGTTTTTAGCGAAGGCAGCTGAGGAGGACCCGGACTGAGTTAATAACAATGGACCTGCCTGTGTGGTTGGATGAACGAACTGGCAGCCAGGTCCACGTCACCGACCCCATCAGGGGGGCGGCCTGGTCTCTCAGTCCCGGCCCCTCCCGCCCGCCCCTCCCGCAGCGGACCTGTACTCGCCCGAGGCCGGGGAGGAGGAGCCGGCCTGGGTGCAGACGGAGCGGGAGCAGTTCCGGGACTTCCGGGACCTGAACCACGACGGGCGGCTGGACGGCAGCGAGGTGGGCCACTGGGTGCTGCCCCCCGCCCAGGACCAGCCGCTGGTGGAGGCCAACCACCTGCTGCAGGAGAGCGACACCGACAAGGTGCGGGCGCGGGGGGCGGGGCGCGGAGGGAGGGGCGGGGCCGGAGGGAGGGGCGGGGCCCGGACAGAGAGGGGGATGGGGCCCGGGGGGGGGACGGGGGCCCGGAGGGGAGGAAGGAGGCCCGGAGGGGAGGAAGGAGGCCCGGAGGGGAGGAAGGAGGCCCGGAGATGGGGGGACGGGGGCCCGGAGGGGGGACGGGGGCCCGGAGGGGGGACGGGGGCCCGGAGGGGGGGACGGGGCCCGGAGGGGGGGACGGGGCCCGGAGGGGGGACGGGGGCCCGGAGGGGGGACGGGGGCCCGGAGGGGGGACGGGGGCCCGGAGGGGGGGACGGGGCCCGGAGGGGGGACGGGGACCCGGAGGGGGGGACGGGGCCCGGAGGGAGGGGGACGGGGGCCCGGAGGGAGGGGGACGGGGGCCCGGAGGGGGGGGGACGGGGGCCCGGAGGGGGGACGGGGGCCCGGAGGGGGGGACGGGGCCCGGAGGGGGGACGGGGGCCCGGTGGGGGGGGACGGGGGCCCGGGGGGGGGGACGGGGGCCCGGAGGGGGGGACGGGGGCCCGGAGGGGGGGACGGGGGCCCGGAGGGGGGGACGGGGCCCGGAGGGGGGACGGGGCCCGGAGGGGGGACGCAGAGGCCCGGGGCCGGTGCTGGGGGCGGGGGGCCCACCTGCGGGGCCTGAGCGGCGCTGGCCTCCCCCCAGGACGGAAGGCTGAGTAAGGCGGAGATCCTGGGCAACTGGAACATGTTCGTGGGCAGCCAGGCCACCAACTACGGCGAGGACCTGACCCGCCACCACGACGAGCTGTGAGGGCGGTGACCGGGGCCTGGCCGGGCCCGGGCTCCCACCGACACACCGGCCGGTCCGCTCCTGGAGACACCTCGTCCCATCGGCCCCTCATCCCCCTCATCCCCTCATCCCCCTCATCCCCTCATCCCCTCATCCCCTCATCCCCTCATCCCCCTCATCCCCTCATCCCCTCAGCCCCCTCAGCCCCTCAGCCCCTCAGCCCCTCAGCCCCTCACCCCCCTCAGCCCCTCAGCCCCTCAGCCCCTCACCCCCCTCAGCCCCTCAGCCCCTCATCCCCTCATCCCCTCATCCCCCTCATCCCCGCAGCCCCTCAGCCCCTCAGCCCCTCACCCCCCTCAGCCCCTCAGCCCCTCAGCCCCTCACCCCCCTCAGCCCCTCAGCCCCTCAGCCCCTCAGCCCCTCAGCCCCTCACCCCCCTCATCCCCTCAGCCCCAGCCCAGGGCCCCCAGGCCCGGAGAGGGACCCCCCACTGCTCCCTGTAGGCCCTCCGCCAGCCCAGGCCCCCCAGTGACCACCAGCCCCCTCCCCCCAGTGACCACCCAGCCCCCTCCCCCCAGTGACCACCAGCCCCCTCCCCCCAGTGACCACCAGCCCCCTCCCCCCAGTGACCACCCAGCCCCCTCCCCCCAGTGACCACCAGCCCCCTCCCCCCAGTGACCACCAGCCCCCTCCCCCCCAGTGACCACCAGCCCCCTCCCCCCAGTGACCACCAGCCCCCTCCCCCCAGTGACCACCCAGCCCCCTCCCCCCAGTGACCACCAGCCCCCTCCCCCCAGTGACCACCCAGCCCCCTCCCCCCAGTGACCACCAGCCCCCTCCCCCCAGTGACCACCAGACCCCTCCCCTCCCCCCAGTGACCACCCAGCCACTCCCCCCAGTGACCACCCAGCTCCAACCCAGCCTAAGCCTCATGCACAGACAGGAACCCCCCCATTAGCTCCCCCCACCCCCCACCCATGCCTCCGCCTCCGCCTGCACTGGCTCAGCCACAGGCACCACCCGAAGCCTCTGGGGGGGGGGGCAATAAACCCAGTGCTGGGCGCCTCCCTGTGTCTTTCTGAGGGACGTGGCACGGGAGGGGAGATTGGGGACTGTGACTTGGAGAGGAGCGTGCTGGAGGGGGGATTGTGCTGGAGGGGGGCTGTGCTGGAGGGGGGGCTGTGCTGGAGGGGGGCTGTGCTGGAGAGGGGGCTGTGCTGGAGGGGGGCTGTGCTGGAGAGGGGGCTGTGCTGGAGGGGGGGCTGTGCTGGAGGGGGGCTGTGCTGGAGGGGGGGCTGTGCTGGAGGGGGGCTGTGCTGGAGAGGGGGCTGTGCTGGAGGGGGGTCTGTGCTGGAGGGGGGCTGTGCTGGAGGGGGGCTGTGCTGGAGG